ATAGGTGCTGGTACTCTCCCCTTCTGAGTCACTCCTTTTTCTCAGTTTTGGTTACCAATTCACAGAAAGAACATTGGGGAACTGGAGAAAGTACAGAGAAGGGCAACCAAACTGATAAGAGGCATGGTGGAGCTCAGCTATGAGAAAAGATTAGATGAACTGAATGTATTCTCTCTTGAGAAGAGGAGATTAAGGGGGATATGATCAACATGTATAAATACATCAGTGGTTTATAATGAACTCGGTGTAGAGTTATTCACCCTGAGGTCATCACAGAGGACAAGGAGGCACTCTTTACATCTGGAGGAAAAGAGATTTAATCTCCAAACACAGAAAGGTTTCTTCACAGTAAGAGCTGTGAAAATGTGGAATAGACTCCCTCAAGAGTTGGTTCTGGCCAGCTCAGTGGATTGCTTTAAAAAAGGCCTGGATTCTTCCTTGTATACACAGAATATAACTGGATACTAACATTTATAGGTAAAGTTGATCCAGGGAATATCCGTGTGCCTCTCAGAGGATCAGGAAGGAATTTTTTCCCCTGCAGGAGCAAATTGGATCATGCTTTGCTGTTTTTTTGTCTTCCTCTGGATCAACTGTGGGTATAAGATTATACCTTTTTTTTTTTTTTTTATGGCTGAACTAGATGAACTTTTGTCTTTTTTCAGCCAGACTAACTATGGAACTATCTAACTATGTCTCTGCCCCTATCCATCTCTGAGAAACATCCCTTGGTTTCACCCTCTACCCACCTCCCAGTGCCACCCCTTTTAGAAGATGCAGAGCCATGTACTATTTTGCGGTGCTTATAATTTGTATGGAATTTGTTAAAGATAAGAAAAGCAGTAAAATAGATCTCCTGCAGCCAGCAGGAATACATCCTCCAGCAACAATAGACCTTCCACAACAAATTACCTCCTCAGCAACAATAGACCCCTGCCAGCAACAATAGATCTCCCAGCAGCCAGCATCAAAAGACTCCCTCAGCAGCCATCAACAATAGACCCCTCCTGCAACAGTTGATCCCTCCCATCAACAATTGACCCCCATAGCAGCAATAAATCCCCCACCATTAACAATAGCAACAAGACTCTCCAGAAACAGTAGATCCCTCCCAGCCACAAGAAATTCCCCAGCAGCCAGAATCAATAGACCCTCCAGCACACCTCATCACCCCTTACCATTACATACATTCGGTTCTGGAGGTGAAGGAACTGCGTTCCCCCACGTTCAAACTAAAAAAAAAGCCCTGCCAACAATAGCAGCTAATCCCCATTGTCAGACTGGCTTAGGAACTAACAGGAACTCAGGGAACGGAAGGACCAAAGGGTAACATTACATCTATAATCTAAGTATATGAAAATAGAAGATATTACTAATGATTATACAATATTAGGGAAAGCCTTGCAAAGGACACTTTTTCCATTTTTGGCTGGAATTAACATAAATGGAGAGATTTGTCACCAAGGAGCCTGTCATCTTGTGTACATTCCTTGAGTTGTTTGTCATCTCGAAGAATCTTAAGAGAGTAAATACCGTAGTTGCTCCCTCAGCCTTTGCAATATTTTGGAGTAGGGTTTTGTGTATCTGCGTTGTGTGGAACGAATGCTGGGATAAAACCCACCCACCTGTTTCCCAGGATTTCTCATCCAAACCTCATTCCGTAGGGGGTTTACAGTTTACAATACAGCCAAGCGCTGGCTTACACTTAACATTCTGCAAAATATAGATCCGCTGCAGTCTGCAGATTTTCCTCTTTTTTTTCAGCTTTAAATGTGTAACTGTTATGAGTGTTTGTTTGAAAAAGGATGCACTGATCTCAGTCTGCAAATTAGACATTCCTGTTTCAGAGCCATGTCATTTATTGTTGATTTAATATGAACACAAAGGAATGAAAAATACAGCGATGAGCCTAACAAAGTCTATTCACTTGCCAGAGAAAAATACAGAATACGTTTCTGTAGACCATGTGATTATTCCAGGAAAAAAACCAGAGGACCACCAAAGGTCATGGAGATGCCACCACAGAAGGATAAAAGTGCTGGCTGTCTAATTTCAGGATGTTTCAAAAGCATTAATAGTCTCTTTAAAGCAATTCTGGAAATCCTGGGAAATTTAAGCTGGGTATATGGCAAAAAAATACACAAACAGAGGTTACCTTACATTTTATATATTGAAATCGTAATTCAAACTCATCAGTATATCCAAGTCCAATGGGAATGTTCTTCCTTAAACTTCTGCAACTTCCTCACTTTTTGCTTACTGTATCACCAATTACAATTACATTTTAAAAAAAGTTTGAATGTGACTGCTGGTTTGGAGTAATCATCTAATACTTTTTACTTTAGATGTTCTATACGAGTGACAGCAATGACCCCACATGAGTGTATTTGAAAATATCTTTTTATTACCAATTGAAGGGACAACAGTAGACCACTGTAGCAGCACCTGGATAACAAATGGAAAGTTACATATAGATACATAGTTAGTCTGGTTGAAAAAAGAACAAATTCATCCAGTTCAACCAATAGAAGAAAAAAACAAAAAAACAAATACCCACAGTTAATCTAGAGCAGCGGTTCTCAACCTGGGGGTCGAACGACCATTTCACAGGGGTCGCATAAGACCATCGGAAAACACATATTTCCGATGGTCTTAGGAACCGAGACACCGCTCCTGTCTCAGGCGATCTGTGGGCGGGATGATATGCTGCCCCTGTAACCTGGCCACACCTCCGGGATCACTCAACAGCTCCGCCTCCTCGCCGCTGATTGGCCACCGGAACTGTAGCTCAGGAGAGGCACACAGGCGGCCAATCACCGGTGAGGAGGTGGAGCTTGGAGAGGAGGAGCCGAGCGGCAGCGCGTGCAGATCGAAGAAGATCGAGGGAGCTGCAGGAGCGAGTGAAGAGAGAGGCCAGAGAAGGAAGACAGCTGACAGGTAAGTGCAAATTTTGCTGCTGCAGCCAGGTATGCAGGCTGTAGATGGGAGAGGGAGAGAGCGAGCCCAGACTGGAGCAGGGGTCAGCAAGGTAAGTATCATTGGTGTCAGTGGAAGGGATAGTGCCCCATCATTTGTGTCACTAATACCAACGATGGGGCACTATTCCTCCCCCCACTGACACCAACGATGGGGCACTACTGACACCAACGATGGGGCACTATTCCTCCCCCCACTGACACCAACGATGGGGCACTATTCCTCCCCCCACTGACACCAACGATGGGGCACTATTCCTCCCCCCACTGACACCAATGATGGGGCACTATTCCACCCACTGATACCAATGATGGGGCACTATTCCTCCCACTGACACCAATGATGGGGCACTATTCCTCCCACTGACACCAATGATGGGGCACTATTCCTCCCACTGACACCAATGATGGGGCACTATTCCTCCCACTGGCACAATGATGGGGCACTATTCCTCCCACTGACACCAATGATGGGGCACTATTCCTCCCACTGACACCAATGATGGGGCACTATTCCTCCCACTGACACCAATGATGGGGCACTATTCCTCCCACCAATGGGGCACACCAATGATGGGGCACTATTCCTCCCACTGACACCAATGATGGGGCACTATTCCTCCCACTGGCACAATGATGGGGCACTATTCCTCCCACTGACCCAATGATGGGGGCACTATTCCTCCCACTGACACCAATGATGGGGCACTATTCCTCCCACTGACACCAATGATGGGGCACTATTCCTCCCACTGACCAATGATGTGGCACTATTCCTCCCACTGACAATGGGGCACTATTCCTCCCACTGACACCAATGATGGGGCACTATTCTATTCCTCCCACTGACACCACTGATTCCTCCCACTGACACCAATGATGGGGCACTATTCCTCCCACTGATACCAATGATGGGGCACTATTCCTCCCACTGACACCAATGATGGGGCACTATTCCTTCCACTGACACCAATGATGGGGCACTATTCCTTCCACTGACACCAATGATGGGGCACTATTCCTCCCACTGATACCAACGATGGGGCACTATTCCTCCCACTGACACCAACGATGGGGCACTATTCCTCCCACTGACACCAACGATGGGGCACTATTCCTCCCACTGACACCAACGATGGGACACTATTCCTCCCTGACTGATTCACCCACTGACCAACGATGGGGCACTATTCATCCCACTGACATCAGTGATGGGGCGCTAGTCCTCCCACTGCAAAATTACAGTTATGAAGTAGCAAACGAAAATAATTTTATGGTTGGGGGTCACCACAACATGAGGAACTGTATTAAGGGGTCGCGGCATTAGAAAGGTTGAGAACCACTGATCTAGAGGAAGGCAAAAAAAAAACAGTAAAGCATGATCCAATTTTCTACAAGCAGGGGAAAAATTCTTCCTGATCCCCCAAGATAGTACTCTGGATCAACTTTACCTATAAGGATTAGTATCCAGTTATATTTTGTGTATCTAGGAAAGAATCCAGGCCTTTTTTAAAACAATCTACTATATTTTTTCACTCCAGACCATAAGACGCACCTAGGTAAAATATTCTGAACCAATGGACTGCAGACAGTACAGGAAATGACCAGAGACTGCAGACATAGTACAGGAGATGACCAGAGACTGCGGACAAAGTACAGGAGATGAACAGAGACTGCGGACAAAGTACAGGAGATGAACAGAGACTGCGGACAAAGTACAGGAGATGAACAGAGACTGCGGACATACTACAGGAGATGACCAGAGACTGCGGACATAGTACAGGAAATGACCAGAGACTGCAAACACAGTACAGGAGATGACCAGAGACTGTGGACATACTACAGGAGATGATCAGAGACTGTGGACACAGTACAGGAGATGACAAGAAACTGCGGACACAGTACAAGAGTTGAACAGAGACTGCAGAAACAGTACAGGAGATGACCAGAGACTGCAGACAGTACAGGAGATGACCAGAGACTGCTTACACAGTACAGGAGATGACCAGAGACTGGAGACAGTACAGGAGATGACCAGATACTGGAGACAGTACAGAAGATGACCCGAGACTGCGGACACAGTACAGGAGATGACCAGAGACTGCAGACAGTACAGGAGATGACGAGAGACTGCGGACATAGTACAGGAGATGACCAGAGACTGCAGACAGTACAGAAGATGACTAGAGACTGCGGACACAGTACAGGAGATGACAAGAGACTGCAGACATAGTACAGGAAATGACCAGAGACTGCGGACATAGTACAGGAGATGACAAGAGACTGTGGACACAGTACAGGAGATAACAAGAGACTGTGGACACAGTACAAGAGATGACCAGAGACTGAGGACACAGTACAGATGACCAGAGACTGCAGATACAGTACAGGAGATGACCAGAGACTGCAGACAATACAGGAGATGACCAGAGACTGCAGGCAGTACAGGGGATGACCAGAGACTGCAGACAGTACAGGGGATGACCAGATACTGCAGACAGTACAGGGGATGACCAAGAGACTGCAGACCTTTGGGGAGGGAGGGGGAGCGGGTACCTGAATTTGACAGATACCCGCTCCCACTTCCATGGATTTGTCCGCGCATGCGCAGTGGGCACAGCCGGGTGCCCACACTAAAGATGCCGGCGCCGGAAGACTGTACAGTGCTGGACCGAGGAACAGGTAAGGTTCTGCTGCAGAGAAGAGCTGAGCGGCCGGCCTGGTATTCTGAGATGGCGGCGGCAGGAATATTCACTCCACAAGATGCACTGACATTTTCCTCCCTTTTTTGGGGGGAAAAAAGTGCATCTTATGGAGCACGAAAACCGGTACTTAGCTGGCCAGAACCAGCTCTTGAAGGAGTCTATTCCACATATTAACAGCTCTTACTGTTAAGAAGCCTAATCATATATGGTGGTTAAATCTCTTTTTCTCCATGTAAAGAGTGTCCCCTTGTCTTCTGTGATGTTAATAATATCCCCCCTAATCTCCTCTTCTCAAGAGAGAATAAGTTCAGTTCCTCTAATCTTTCCTGAGCTGAGCTCCTCCATACTTCGTATCAGTTTGGTTGCCCTTCTCTGTACTTTCTCCAGTTCCCCAATGGTCTTTTTGTGAATTGGTGCCCAAAACTGAACAGCTTATTCTAGATGAGGTCTTACTAATGATTTGTACAGGAGTAGAATTATGTCTGTCTTTCTCTTTGTGGTCCATACCTCGCTCTGAAAACTGAAGCTTGGCATTGCATGCCATTATTAAGCTTATGATCTACCAAAACACCCAGATCCTTCTCCACCATTGATCCCCCCAGCTGTTCTCCCCCTAGCATTTATGATGCATGCATATTTTTAGCCACCAAGTGCATAACTTTACATTTTTCAACTTTAAACATCATTTGTCACATAGTTGCCCAATTAAAACAGTGCATTGAGGTTGGCCTGTAAGTTGGAGAGATCCAGTAAAGATATTTTTTTAATCCCAGACCCTATATTGTTTTTTAAATAAGTAAAAAAATAAGGGTCGCAACACTGAACTTTGGGGTGCACCATGAATAACCTTAGACCATTCAGAGTATGAATCATGAACCACTACTCTATTTTAGCCAGTTTTCTATCCATTTACAAACTGATTTTTCCAAGCCTATAGAATTTACTTACACATTAGCCTTGGTTGGGGAACTGCGTCAAACGCTTTTGCAAAATCTTAGTATACTATATCCACAGCCACTCCTTTGTCTAAGTTTTTTTCTTACCTCCTCAGATTTGTTTGACAACGTCTGTCTTTCATGAATCCATGCTGCTTATTGCTTAAAATATTATTTTCTAGCAAATCATAGACTTCCTTTAAGTTACCCTGACCTTGACCTTTGACCCTGACTTTGACTCAAACACTAACCCTGACCCAGATCAAACATTGATCTAGGTATTTTTTAAAATGTTATTATTATTATTGTTATTACTTTTTTACACACAGTTGTTTTTTTCTCTCTCTGCAAGAAGAGAGAGAGATACAATGTATTTCTCTCCTCCATTCAGAAAGAAAAAACATGGGGCCAGGCTTCACAGTGACTGATCACTGTGATAGCCAATCAGAGGGTATCACAGCGATCAGGAGACGAGGAATCTGGAGTTCTGGGTCCCAATCGTTAGTAGGGGAACCGGGGCTCTGGCAGCACAAAGACAGATATGCAAATATGTGGCCTCAAGGAAAAAAACTCAGTCCAGTGGGGCCAAATATTTGTGTACATTTGGCGCCAAGGGGTTAAAAATGTTGGTATCTGCTGAGATGAAAGAACTCATTGTCATCTCAATCTGGCCAATCAAAATGGCTGAAGATCGATACCCAGAATAAGACTTGCCCAAGATGCCAGTGGCCAGTGAGGGAGCTCCAGGACACCAAAGCACAGGAGTGGAGGTGAGTATAGTTCTGCTTAAAGTGTATGCATAGCCCAAACTTTTTTTTAGTTTTGGGGAAAGGCCCCCTGTCAGGTCTGTATTGCTGTCTGTGTCCCTTTGTGGGAGATTCACCCTGTCCATCCTGGTGACTGCTGTCATTGAGACAGAAAGTGAAAATTGTACAGTTGTCACCAAAACAACAGATAAGGGGGTAAGATTAGAATGGATTTCCCATCAGTTTGTAGAGATTTCTGCCTTCTGTTGCATCTCTGGAACAGGAAGCGAAGGAATCTGCTCTCCAGGACACAAGACTCACTAGTCTAACCCAAAACTGAAAACAGGTTTTAGCTTAACACACACTTTCATTTTAAAGCAGAACTCTGTGCAGCATTTTTTTTGGGCTACATACACTACAGTCATGGCCGAAATTGTTGGCACCCTTGATATTTCTCCAGGAAATCATGTATTTCTCACGAAAACGTATTGCATTAACACATGTTTTGCTATACACATGTTTATTCCCTTTGTGTGTATTGGGACAAAACAAAAAAAAAGGGAGGAAAGAAAGCAAATTCGACATAATGTCACACAAACCTCCAAAAATGGGCTGGACAAAAGTATTGGCACCCTTTCACAACTGCGGATAAATAAGAATGTTACAAGCATGTGATGCTCCTGTAAACTCACCTGGGGCAAGTAACAGGTGTGGGCAATATAGAAATCACACCTGAAAGCAGATAAAAAGGAGAGACGTTCACTTAACCTTTGCATTGTGTGTCTGTCTGTGCCACACTAAGCATGGACAACAGAAAGAGGAGACGAGAACTGTCTGAGGACCTGAGAACCAAAATTGTGGCAAAATATCAACAATCTCAAGGTTACAAGTCCATCTCCAGAGAACTAGATTTGCCTTTGTCCACAGTGCGCAACATTATCAAGAAGTTTGCAACCCATGGCACTGTAGCTAATCTCCCTGGTCGTGGACAGATGAGGAAAATTGATGAAAGATTGCAACGCAGAATAGTCCGGATGGTGGATAAGCAGCCCCAAACATGTTCCAAAGACATTCAAGCTGTCCTGCAGGCTCAGGGAGCATCAGTGTCAGCGCGAACTATCCGTCGACATTTAAATGAAATGAAACGCTATGGCAGGAGACCCAGGAGGACCCCACTGCTGACACAGAGACATAAAAAAGCAAGACTACAGTTTGCCAAAATGTACTTGAGTAAGCCAAAAGCCTTCTGGGAAAACGTCTTGTGGACAGATGAGACCAAGATAGAGCTTTTCGGTAAAGCACATCATTCTACTGTTTACCGAAAACGGAATGAGGCCTACAAAGAACAAAACACAGTACCTACGGTAAAATATGGTGGAGGTTCAATGATGTTTTGGGGTTGTTTTTCTGCTGCCTCTGGCACTGGGTGCCTTGACTGTGTGCAAGGCATCATGAAATCTGAGGATTACCAAAGGATTTTGGGTCGCACTGTAGGGCCCAGTGTCAGAAAGCTGGGTTTGCGTCCAAGATCCTGGGTCTTCCAGCAGGACAATGACCCCAAACATACGTCAAAAAGCACTCAGAAATGGATGGCAAAGAAGCGCTGGAGAGTTCTGAAGTGGCCAGCAATGAGCCCAGATCTAAATCCCATTGAACACCTGTGGAGAGATCTTAAAATTGCTGTTGGGAAAAGGTGTCCTTCCAATAAGAGAGACCTGGAGCTGTTTGCAAAGGAAGAGTGGTCCAAAATTCCGGGTGAGAGGTGTCAGAAGCTTATTGATGGTTATAGGAAGCGACTGATTTCAGTTATGTTTTCCAAAGGGTGTGCAACCAAATATTAAGTTAAGGGTGCCAATACTTTTGTCCAGCCCATTTTTGGGGTTTTGTGTGACATTATGTCATATTTGCTTTTCTGCCTCTGTTTTATATTTGTTCCAATACATACAAAGGGAATAAACATGTGTATAGCAAAACATGTGTTAATGCAATACCTTTTTTGTGTGAAATACTTGATTTTCAGGAAAAATATCAAGGGTGCCAACAATTTTCGGCCATGACTGTATATACAGGTGCTTCCACACCTTTAAACAATTTCTTGGTGTTACAGTGCACAGTTCCCTTGCTAGTCAGAAATCCAGCCTTGTTTGCTGTATGATGAGCTCTCTGTTCCCCTTACATCCTACTTATAAGACTGTTGGCCACTGTGTCCTCTATCCCCCTGGCCACTGGTCTTGTACATTCCCCCCTGTAGTTCTAGTAAAGCGAGGGGTAACATGATTACATCACCACTTGCTGCAGTGGGTGGATCGGAGCGCCTTAGACTTTCGGTCTGATCCTCCCACTGTGCAGCATAGATTGACACTTATCCATTCCAACACTCCCACAATCCCGCCCACTCAGACTGTAGTTGTTAGTAATTATGTGAATGAGCGGCACTGTGCAGCGGACTGTGGGCGTGTTTGGAATGGATCAGTGTCAATCTATGCTGCACAGTGGGAGGATCAGACTGGAAATCTGTGATGTGATTACATTGCTCACTGCAGTGCGGGTGTAGCTGGGATGTGAACCAGAGAGGGAGCTCCTCTGTCACTGTCATCCTGTCTTTATAGCATTTAAAGTGTTACTAAACCCACAACAGTAAAATCAGTTTGTATTTGCAGTAAAGCACTGTGGAACCTAAGGGGTTAAGCCTCTGCATTGTGTAAAAATGCTGCTCGATCCTGACTCCTCTGATCCTCCTCTTCTTCCAGTGTCTTCTAAATATCTCCTGAAAGAACAGAGGCTTGGGGGCAAGCTGCAAATACTCAGATTGGTGTGTATTGCTCGAGTTTTTTTTTCTTGGGAGAGTGCATGTGATCAGCACAGGGCCAATCAATACCCTCCAGACAAAGGTCAGTGTGACGGGCGCGGCGTCAGACCCCAGTCCTTTTCACCAACTTGTGACCGAAGGACTAGCCAATCTAAAACAGTGCTGCCACTTGCGTAACAATGCCACTCTCAGCTGCACCCTGCACAAAGATTTTCCAGCTCACTGGACCCCAATCTAGGTGCCAACAACCTGAGAGCGATTGCTACTGGGTCAGGTTTATTACGCAATTAACCCTTCACACTGCCACCACCACCTTTTTACAGAGAAGGAGGAAACTCACAAATCTTAGCAGTAACACTATGATGTTTGAATAAGCATCTGTATACACACTGTCACCGCAGACAGATGTATCCAGAGGTTTTAAAACACACAGTAGCACTCTTCAGAGACAGGGATTCTTAGTTTGCATTAAAAAGCTTTAGAAACAATTCAACACTTTTCAGAAAATAGGATTTATAACTAAAAAGGTCAAAATGGTGCAATACAAATATTTACAGAAAAGATGTAACCAATATAT